CTCAGCACCCCACGGCTCTGAGGAAGCACAAGGCTGGGCTGGGTGGGGAGATTCCTGGGTCCCTGCCTCACAGACCTTATTTAGTAGGTCTAGGTTATGGTCAGGAATTGACTCCTTTAAAATCTCCCCAGGTGACCGTGATGCATGGACAGATTTGGAAACCACTGTGACGGATGGTCCCTACTAGCTTTAAGATTTCAAGTGCAACTGATTATCAAACTAAGTCTTTGAAATTGCTCTTCACAAATCTCACTGTAATTCCAAAGGTTCTCTTCTAGTCTTGATACTTCCCCTGGAGAAAGGGGAGAGAGAGAACACAGTTGGACAGCACTCTCCTGTCCTCCACACACGACATTGGTCATGGGGCCAGAGATCTTCTTGGGATTTAAAAAATCACAAAGAGCCCCAGAAGGAAAACATTCTTGAGATCCTGCAATCTAACCCCTTATGGTAAAGATAGTAGCAAAGCTCTGTGGATCTTATTCAAGCCTGGACTGCCCACCTCAGACTCAGGCTCAAGCAACTGTCCAGAAAGCAGATGGTGTGGCGCTGGTCACACCTGCTGACACAGGGCAGCTTTGCTGAGAGGAGCCACTGCAGAGCATGACACAGTCTCATTCCCTCCTAATAGAGCAACATATGTGGGTCTGTGTCAGGCTGCCAGGCCCCTCATCTCTGCCCTCCACCTCATTAGCAGAGAGCCCATAATGCCCGCCCCACTGTCTGCTGGAAAAAAAAGGTGAGGGCAGTGCACAGATTCAGAGAGCAGCTGGCCAGGCTGAGGATGCGGAAGACAGGGCATCTGCATGCTGAGAACCTTCAGACCTGGGGGAAGGCTGGTCCCTGCTTCCTCAGTCTGTTCTACAGGATGTGCGTTCCTCCTGGTCTCAGGCAGGAAGAGCCCCACAGGAACTAGTTCCAGACCTGGGCAGAAAAGGGCATTTGCCTCTGTGCAATTATTATACATCCTCCTAGGGCCCCCAAATAAGACCACCCTGACAATTCTGCAGGTGCACCACTCGCTGAGCACCCCCCACCCCCAGGGGCAGGGAGTGGAACTAGACATGTTACATTCATTGCCACATTTCATCCTTGCCGCCACCCCTGTGGAAGAGGTGTCATCATTCCTGCTTTGTAGATTAGGCTTGGAGCCATCAAACAACCTGCTCCATCAGCAGAGCTGGGACTTAGACCCAGGCATGGGCAGGGCTGGCTCTTAGAGGGCATGTGGCAGGGTATGGGTTCAGGTTTTATCCTAAGAGCTACGGGGTCAGAGAGATCTGTGGCCCCAGGTTTGCACTGCAAATAGATTCCTGTGGCTGTTGTGTGGAGAAGAGAGTGGAGTGGGTGCACATAGAAGCCCATCATAAGAGCCTGAAAGGAGAGAGACAACAGTCAGAGAAATGGGGGGGTCCAGGGTGGGCCCTCTTGCTTCACTGAGGTCTGCAGATCAACAACCTTATCTGACAAAGTCACTCTCATGGAAACAAGAGGACACTGTTTGTCAAAGTGTGGGCCATGGAGTCTGCATTAAAATCACTACAGGTGCTCTAAAATTTCAGATTCCTGAGCTCCATCTGGGTCCAGATTTGATTCCATCACACAGAATCAGAAGCTCTGTGTGAAAAGCCTAGAAATTGCATTGTCAAGAATTTAGGATGAAGAACTTGGGCTCTGGAATCAGAGTGCCGAATTTTCATTCAACTCTCTCACTTCTGTAGGTCCAGGGAAGTCACCTACTGTCTGTAAAACAGGTATCATGGTAGTACCCACCTCACATGGAAATTCTGAGGGTTAAATCAATTAACATGTATCAGCCCCCTAAAACCTTGTTCTAGGTCAAGGGTAACAGAGAAGTGAGTGTCCAAGTACCTCTGAAGGAGATAGTGCCGACATTAGCTGTGTACCCGCATTAGCTATGAAACCAGTGCATCCACTTCTTCTGTGAGGTTTCAGACATAAAAGCAGAATCTCAGCTGCTGTGGATTGAATTGTGTTCCCCCGAAAGATGTTGAAGTCCAGATCCCTGGTACTTACGAATGTGTTCATTTTTGGAAATAGGATCTTTGCAGATGATCAAGTTAAAATGAGATCATTGGGGCGATAGCCACAACCTGGAAGCACGAGTAATTTTGTTCTGAGCCTAATAATGGTCACCCAAAAGGACGTTCAGCCCCCAAAGCAGCAGCCAATGATATATATATGTGGAGAATGTCACACAGAAAATGAAATAAAATCCAGGGATCCAATCAGATGCAGAGAATGTGGATATCTTCCTACAGTCAAGTCTAACTTCACAAATTAGCCTGGGCCAAGATAAAATGCATGCTCTAGGAAGACATCTGCTCGGCAAGCACTAGTTTCAATAAGATTATAAAGATATATATTCAAGCTGTAGGAGAGGGAGTGGGTGAAGAGGCCAAACTCTGGACACAAGACTTGCTTCACAACCACCATGTCTTTTCATTCTCACAGGAATCTGGTGAGGTCTGCCCGTCTGTCCTCATTTTCAGGAAAGGAAACTGGGGGTCTGCGGGGCAGGTGCACCTTGGACTTCACAATTAGTAAGTGGCGGAGCCTGCGTCCAAACCAAGCCCAGCTCCAAAACATGGGCTCGTTCTCTGGAACAATGCAGTGCGGCTGGCTTGGACCGGGTCAAACTTTCAGAGGCGAGGAAATTAAGGCCAGACGGGTGTATGTCCAACAGCAGTGCAGCTGCTAGAACAACACCCACTAAGCATGGACCATGTGTCCCAAGTACATGTGCCTGCAGAGCTTGAATACCCTGAGGGGGATTGTGGTTCCGTGTGTTCCATGGGGAACCACAAAGCACATGTGTTCAGCTAGGGATGGAAACTGCTGCGCCTTCATCTCAGCACCCCACGGTTCTGAGGAAGCACAAGGCTGGGCTGGGTGGGGAGATTCCTGGGTCCCTGCCTCACAGACCTTATTTAGTAGGTCTAGGTTATGGTCAGGAATTGACTCCTTTAAAATCTCCCCAGGTGACCGTGATGCATGGACAGATTTGGAAACCACTGTGACGGATGGTCCCTACTAGCTTTAAGATTTCAAGTGCAACTGATTATCAAACTAAGTCTTTGAAATTGCTCTTCACAAATCTCACTGTAATTCCAAAGGTTCTCTTCTAGTCTTGATACTTCCCCTGGAGAAAGGGGAGAGAGAGAACACAGTTGGACAGCACTCTCCTGTCCTCCACACACGACATTGGTCATGGGGCCAGAGATCTTCTTGGGATTTAAAAAATCACAAAGAGCCCCAGAAGGAAAACATTCTTGAGATCCTGCAATCTAACCCCTTATGGTAAAGATAGTAGCAAAGCTCTGTGGATCTTATTCAAGCCTGGACTGCCCACCTCAGACTCATGCTCAAGCAACTGTCCGGAAAGCAGATGGTGTGGTGCTGGTCACACCTGCTGACACAGGGCAGCTTTGCTGAGAGGAGCCACTGCAGAGCATGACACAGTCTCATTCCCTCCTAATAGAGCAACATATGTGGGTCTGTGTCAGGCTGCCAGGCCCCTCATCTCTGCCCTCCACCTCATTAGCAGAGAGCCCATAATGCCCGCCCCACTGTCTGCTGGAAAAAAAAGGTGAGGGCAGTGCACAGATTCAGAGAGCAGCTGGCCAGGCTGAGGATGCGGAAGACAGGGCATCTGCATGCTGAGAACCTTCAGACCTGGGGGAAGGCTGGTCCCTGCTTCCTCAGTCTGTTCTACAGGATGTGCGTTCCTCCTGGTCTCAGGCAGGAAGAGCCCCACAGGAACTAGTTCCAGACCTGGGCAGAAAAGGGCATTTGCCTCTGTGCAATTATTATACATCCTCCTAGGGCCCCCAAATAAGACCACCCTGACAATTCTGCAGGTGCACCACTCGCTGAGCACCCCCCACCCCCAGGGGCAGGGAGTGGAACTAGACATGTTACATTCATTGCCACATTTCATCCTTGCCGCCACCCCTGTGGAAGAGGTGTCATCATTCCTGCTTTGTAGATTAGGCTTGGAGGCATCAAACAACCTGCTCCATCAGCAGAGCTGGGACTTAGACCCAGGCATGGGCAGGGCTGGCTCTTAGAGGGCATGTGGCAGGGTATGGGTTCAGGTTTTATCCTAAGAGCTACGGGGTCAGAGAGATCTGTGGCCCCAGGTTTGCACTGCAAATAGATTCCTGTGGCTGTTGTGTGGAGAAGAGAGTGGAGTGGGTGCACATAGAAGCCCATCATAAGAGCCTGAAAGGAGAGAGACAACAGTCAGAGAAATGGGGGGGTCCAGGGTGGGCCCTCTTGCTTCACTGAGGTCTGCAGATCAACAACCTTATCTGACAAAGTCACTCTCATGGAAACAAGAGGACACTGTTTGTCAAAGTGTGGGCCATGGAGTCTGCATTAAAATCACTACAGGTGCTCTAAAATTTCAGATTCCTGAGCTCCATCTGGGTCCAGATTTGATTCCATCACACAGAATCAGAAGCTCTGTGTGAAAAGCCTAGAAATTGCATTGTCAAGAATTTAGGATGAAGAACTTGGGCTCTGGAATCAGAGTGCCGAATTTTCATTCAACTCTCTCACTTCTGTAGGTCCAGGGAAGTCACCTACTGTCTGTAAAACAGGTATCATGGTAGTACCCACCTCACATGGAAATTCTGAGGGTTAAATCAATTAACATGTATCAGCCCCCTAAAACCTTGTTCTAGGTCAAGGGTAACAGAGAAGTGAGTGTCCAAGTACCTCTGAAGGAGATAGTGCCGACATTAGCTGTGTACCCGCATTAGCTATGAAACCAGTGCATCCACTTCTTCTGTGAGGTTTCAGACATAAAAGCAGAATCTCAGCTGCTGTGGATTGAATTGTGTTCCCCCGAAAGATGTTGAAGTCCAGATCCCTGGTACTTACGAATGTGTTCATTTTTGGAAATAGGATCTTTGCAGATGATCAAGTTAAAATGAGATCATTGGGGCGATAGCCACAACCTGGAAGCACGAGTAATTTTGTTCTGAGCCTAATAATGGTCACCCAAAAGGACGTTCAGCCCCCAAAGCAGCAGCCAATGATATATATATGTGGAGAATGTCACACAGAAAATGAAATAAAATCCAGGGATCCAATCAGATGCAGAGAATGTGGATACAGAATAATGTACAAGAAAAGGACTAAAGGATTGGTGGTTTTTGATGCTTAATGAAAGATGAAATTCAGAAGAATATCTTCATTTGTATTTGCATTTGCTGTTAATGTGTAGCTTTTGATTAGTGTACTTAATGAATGCAACTCTATGCACATGATTTCATATTGTATTTAGGTATCTATTAATAATTTATATAAAGAAATCATTTTTTGTTCAACTAAAAAAAAATGAGATCATTGGGATGGGCACAAATCCAACATGTCCGTGTCCTTTACAAGAGGGGAAATTTGGACAGAGAGACAGACATGAACAGAGGGCAGATGATGTGAAGATGTAGGAAGGACACTCATCTACAAGCCCAGGAACTCCTGAGGCCACCAGAAATTGGGGAAAGGATTAAAACAGATTTTTCCACACCATTCTCAGAAGCAATCAATGATGCCAACACCTTGATTGCAGACATCTAGCCTCCAGAACGGTGAGACAGTAACTTTCTGTTTTTTAAACCATATGCTTTGTGTTTATTATAGCAGCCCTAGGAAATTAATACATCTGCCAACACAGAATGGGCCTCTAGAACTAGAGAGCTAAAGGACAGTTCCTAAGAAGCAAGCAAGTCCTAAATTCCTGAAATTTGTATCCTGAGTCTGGCCTGCTGAGCACCAATGGGGGCAACAGCCCTTCTGGTGACAGTAGCATTGCTACTGACTGGGGACAGGCAGTAAGTTGATTCTTCCCTCAGCTGTTCATCTTCTGGGGGTGGAGGAGGGTGAGGCCCTCAGGGACCACCAGCCCTTTCTTTCCTGTGAGGCTGTGTAATTTGGCACATGATGGCTGTGGTGTACTCAGTGGCCCCACTGGCCTCGCTGTCTAGTGCTGCTGATGATCACAGCCTTTGGTAGGCAATCATTTGCAGCACAATTCACCCAGAGCCATAGCAAACAGTTCCGTGGAAGAGAACGCAAAAGCCTCCCCAAGCCCCAGGACTGCAGCTTTCAGTGCACTGAAAGCAGTTGGCTTTCAGCAAAATCCTGGCATATCTACACTGGCTCTGGTAGGCTGGTGGAAGCTGGGGGTGGTTGTGTGCTTGGCAGAGGGTCAGTTCCCAGCCCTGCTTTGGTTAGCTGGGGGGCTGTGCCCAGAAGCCCAGAAGCCAGGTGCTAAGCAGTAGGAGAGCTCTGCCATTCCACAGGGCTATGCACACTTGAGGGGATGCCCCAGGAGAGGCTGGTCCACAGGCAGAGCCTGAAAAACTGCAGAGAAGGAAGGCCAAGCCTCCTGGAGTGGCCCTCAAGACCCTTCAGGGTTCATCTCCATTGCAGTCCTGTCTCATCTTCTTCCTCCCCTCACAGGAGGTTCCAGAATGGCTGAACAATGGGTTATTCCTGAGTTCAAATCCTGTCTCCTCGTGTACCTACTTTGTGAGCTTGGATGTGACACTGAGCCTCAGTTTCCACCTCTGTAAAATGGGGAGACAGATACCTATTCTTTCTGGTTATTATAAGGATTACAGGAGGTAAAATGTTCAAAGGGCCTTCACAGTGCCCAACACATAGTCAGCACTTGGAGGTAGCTATCACTGATCATCATTAACTCACTCATCAATAACTGAATCCAAATAGTATTCAGTCTACAAATAACTCTGCTGACTGACAATAGAATCACCAATACCAAGAAGGCAGTAATTAACTCATTTAACCTAGCTTCCCAGTCCCTTCCAAAGGCCCAGCACTTATGCTGTAAAAGACTAAAAGGAAGGCTTCTGATATGTAGAGTCCAGTTCCGTAGGCTCTGGTGTGACCTGGTGCCTCTGTTCTGAGGATGGGCTTCTGACAGCAGCGAGGGCCAGAGGACAGAAGGCCATTCAGGCCTCCAGCTCCGTGCTCATCACACACACAGTCCTATTCAAGCCTCTTTCAAGTTCATTTTTCTTAGAAGAATTGACTTCTAAAGCTCATGGCCCCCATTCATAGGTGTATGACTGAATTAATACCAGCATTGTGGGACTCAGCAGCCATCTGGAAAGACCTTTTTAAGTAACCATATTTTGCCTTCTGTCTTTGTTATAATAATGGGATGTAAAATAAGGGTCATCAGTCAGAAATGCAGTCTAAACCTTCTGATCCGATTTAACCGGCCTTTGTCTTTGAGGCTCTGGCTGTCTCAATCAGGGGCAACCAGACTTCGGTCTTCGTCTTAGAGCCCTGTGTACCCAGACCTTTGGAGGAAGGGCAGGCTTCAGAACTGGGTAGGGAGCCCTGAGCTCTTTGCCTCTGGTTATAAAAAAGCCACTTCAAGTCCCAGTGGGGCTTTCTTTGCATTCTATATCTTCTGACAAGGGCATACAGCTCTGAGTCCCCTCAACAACGTCTCCACCTGCTGCCTGCCATAATTCATCTTTCTGAAGAATTAGAAGGTTGTACTGAAGCATGTATTTCTTTAACTACTACCACCCTAATAATACATGATCCCTAAAAGACAAGTACTCCTTGTGCCTTGCTCCATTTCCTGTCAAAGACACCAAATGGGCTACAGGGTCCAAAGGTACTGGAGGCCAGAGGTAGGCTTCCCGTCTCATGTTTGGATTTTAAACAAGACCAGGATGCAACTTACTATCCACAGAGCAGGACGCTCGGCAACATTTTCCCAACTAGATGGTGAAGATTCCCCAGCCTTTGGGTTTTCATGAGGCAACCCTCAGCCACAGAAACTTCTGGTTAGGGAAAGGGGGCAGGCCCTCCTCCAGGAAGCCCCCATGACCACTCCTCTGTCAGCATGGAACCCTCCTGGAAATGACAGCTCCCCTGGACACTCAAGCCCTGTGCCTGCCTGCCCAAGTGGACACAACAAAGGGTGACAATGACAGCCCATTCCTGAGGCTTCACATTCCGAAGAAAAGGTTGATTTCCAGGGTTGGCTTCCCAGACTGCTGGTCTGGCTTTAGCTTGCTTGACAGTTGATTCCACACCTTCCCTTCAACTTCTGCCTGTTGGCATTCAGCCCAAACTCAAGGCTCATCTTCTGGCTCCCCCTTCTTCTGCAAATGCCTTACTAGTCTGCAAGACTCCTCTTAAATGCTGCTTCCTCTGTGAATATTTTCAGATTCCTCAGGATGATCTAGCGATCCTTCTCTCAGC